ATTGAGAGTTTTATTAAATGTTTATGAATTACTTTTGCTTTCCAAGCATGTTATATTATGTTTAATTGTGTGGAGTTGGGAATAGTTTGGATAATCGGGTGTTGGCATGAATAAGGAATTAATTCTGCGAGGATATGCGTTTCGAGCTGATCACCCGATTCTACGAGGACATGCTTTCTCAGGCTGACTACGTGTCCCCCGAATTCTGCGAGGATGTAACATATATGGTACTTGGAATTGACGGAACATTATTGGAATTGACAGATTATGATTAGGGGTATGCCTAGGTGGAGAGTATTTGAGTTTTGAGATGTGTTGAAGAAAAATGTGAACCTCCCAAGATAATTTCACCATCACTAATTAAATAATGGGGGTTTTATTATTTTAGGTTCGACCTATTCGAGACACAATGTCTCTTAATTACAGTCCCTTACTTCAAGAGAACACCCTTTGATTCCATCATAAAGAAACAGAACTTGTGTCTTTGTTTTGCGGCTACTCCAAAGTCCAACCTCATGGTGCCTACGTATCCCTTGCGAGAATCAAGCCACTCGTAGTTCAAAGATTTGCAATGAATAAATGACTCATAGCAAAAAGGGGAAATTTCAATGAATTTGATTGAAAAAGTGTTTGAGTGAATTTAGCTGAATAAACCAGGGATTCGATTTTTGATATGTGTTTTGAGGCCAATTTGGTTAAGAATAAAGCAGGGATTTAAATTTGGTTTTGGTTGCGTTTATTGGCAAATAATTTTAACAACTCATAAATCTGATTCAGGCCTTTGATATTTGTTATCAATTAGCCCATGAACAAGGAGTCCATATCAGAAAAGCTTTGGTACCCATCAGCCAATTGAAGCCAATCTGATAACTATGAAACTCTTGTAGAGTTTGTTTTCAAATATAACTAGGCTTTGCAACTCCCATATTTATCTGGAGTACTTGAGATTAACTCAAATATGTTATGATAGGTGACAAGACCTGACCCAAATTCCACTTTGAAATCTGAGCCGAACCCTGTACGTGTCCGACACCTGGCAAGTGCCGGGCACACTTGACCAAATTGTCGTCTAACTAAGACTTAACAATCTTTTTCAAGTTTGACTTCTGCCAAAAATTCTGCAAAGTCTCCCTTGTATAATGCTCGTTTCCCAAAATTTTCACTTGTATGAAAAGCAATTCAAATATCCACAACTGTTCAGCATGCACAATGTTAGAATTCATGCAACCCAACATCAAATCTTTATGGCCTTAGGCCTTACAGAAAACCTTAGGGAAATTTCAGAGCAATACTAATCAATTTAATTTACAGGAATAGTTCGATTACAGTAGAAACCCGAGATAGAGAGAAAAGGATGAATTGTGGTGATGATCGCATGGTGGTGGTGCTCTAGTACACGACTCCTGCTTGGGGACGTAAAACAATTAAAAATGTGAATGGACAAAAGAAAGTTTTGGAAAATATAATATCAACATACTAACCCCACTATTAAAACATTTGAAAATTCATATATATCCATGTTCTTTATTCGTACAAAAATCAAGCATGCATATCTATATACATATAACCGATGCTTCGTTAGAAAATTGCATGGGAGAGCAATTTCAGGTTTCATGGTCGAGCTACCTTCCAACCGTTCGTAATGGAATAGACAGAAACTACCTTGCACAATTTTGGAGATATTTAGCACTAAGCTGGTATTTTTGGTGCAATGATCGTTTCCTTACTCTTATGATTGTTGCTCTAATGTATGGAGAGCATTTTGCGAGTTATGGAGGCCCCTATCCAACACTTTCCATCACAAAAATGGCGAAATTTCTTTGTACGACTTGAAAGTTATTGGTGGGTTACCAATTTTAGGTCTCCCATACGACGAGTTCATCCCTCTAAACAAAGAATTATGGCCATGAAGATTTGTATCCTTCGAGTGTTGGTGAACTTTTGAGAATCCATGCATAGTTATACACTTTCCATGTGAAAGGTCAAGTCTACTGCAATTACTGGGTTGAGCATTTTTTCGAGGAGAAGCTGTATATAGTGCTACTGGCAAAGGCAAGAACGTAATTCCTAAACAAGTAGCTGAAGCTAGGAAACTTCCTTTGAACATTTCTCACGAAGGTCAGCTGGCAGCTTTCTTAGCTTTTTGGCTTAGCCATGTTGTTATTCCTACTAGCAAGGCCATAAGGCTTGAGTGCTTCTATATGGCAAGTTTGATGGCTCGTGGGCTCAAAGTTTAACTTGCTTCAGCGGTATTAGGTGCTATTTACCATGCTCTTGATACAGTTGCTACTCATCATAGAGGCCCTGGCCTAGTAAACACATGTCTTCCCATTCGCTATGCGCTTCGATGGTTAGGCGAGCATTTTCCTGACCTAACTACATGTTGATGTGATAGTAACTTTCTAGAATATTACCCTCTTCTTGCGAGGTATAGCCAAATTGAGGCCAAATATGTTGACCCCACTCGAGCTAGGATAATCTTGAAGAGTGATTTTGTGGTTTATCACCCTAGTTTCTTCCTTGCACATGAAGATTGTATCCTTTTAGACACAGAGACACTAGCAGATGATACCTTTGAGTAATTGATTTGCATGCGCTCTGCATTACTTCCCGCAAGGGTGGGCGGCCACCTTTAGTTGGAACCTTATTACCCAAACAAATTTGCTCGCTAGTTTGGTTTTGACCAAGGAGTTTCACAAACTTCTATTTAGCGTTTGTGAGAGACAACAGTGTGAGATTGAAAATTGGCGAGAGCATAAACCGTCCACCTTTGCAAGGATACGACAATGTACTTTTATATTCCGCGCTCTACCCACATAGGGGAGTACTCTTGGTGGTATTGTAGATGGTGGATGACTGCATGTGCACCTTAGATGGGATTTTTTGTGTAACAGGCACGTCCATAAGAGGGACCACGTCTTTATGACTAATAATTTAAAACGTATCTCGACAGGCATGGGCAAAAGAGGCTTCAATTCATTTTCACCTCTTCATGGTGCTTCTTCGAGCAGAGGACACAAGAAGAGAATTCGTAATGTTAGAGGGCAACATTTCTCATAGGTTAATCACGTGATACACCACTCTTAAAGAGTTAATCAAGACTCACACCTCAAACGGGCACATCATGAAAATCATAACAAGGTTGAGGTTGGAAGCTTTAGCCATGTACCCAACAAAGAGAGTTCCAATCCGATGCTAGGGGAAATGAGATATGATGCCATCTCTTTCCATCGCGAAATAGAGCATATTAATGCAGATAAACTAGTCTTTGAGTTCATTTCTTCAGGTGAAGAGGAAAACATTCTTCATGAGAGCGCTAACTCCAACATGGGTGATACTGGGTTAGACCCCCTGGCTGAAGAATATGAATTTCAACAAGTTCAAAATAGCCCAGCTGATGATCAATTTCCTGAAGGTGTAGGGCCCATAGCAGTCGTGCGACCCCTTCAAAATTTGGTATTAGTCGAGAATTTTGTTTGTTAGACTCTTAGGAAAGGAGTGAACCAGAATAGGCGGGAGTTTAATAAGAGAAATTGAAGGTATCTTCAGCCGACTTTCCTCCTCATTGACACCTGCTCAACTTCATATGCACCATTCTGAGATCGCAAAGGCCCTTCGACTTGTAGGATCAACAGTTTAAATTCTTGGGTGTGGTGAAACTGCATCTTATGGACTGTATTTTTGAGCCTGCCAAGCCACATTCCAAGAGCAATGCCTATATTGAAGCCTTAGGAGATGTGAATGTTGATGTGATTCATGATTTGATCCATCAACACGAGGAATGTTTGAACACCACGCTGGCTCTTAAGACATAACTTACAGAGATTACTAAAGAGATTAAAGACTTGGATGTCAAGGAAGCTACCATTTGGGAAGCAGAAGAGAGAGTTCGCTAGATGCGGGAAGATCATGAAGCTAAGAAAACTTCCCTTAATATGCAAAAGATGAACTTGGAGATTTCTTTGGAGCATCAGAGTGAACAAGCAACACAACTTCAACAATCAAGAATTGATGCTAAAGAAGATGTACTTCCCGAGATCAGGAGCACTCGACGGTCAATGAAGGCTCAAGAGCGAGAGATCCACCGTCTGATCAATGCCTTGTTTTCTTCTTGTAGCGAGCTCTAAGAGATGAGTCTATTATATATTTTTTTTTAGCAAGGCTTTTTCCCTTCAATAAGCGTTCTTGTAGTATGGTTCATCCACTAAGAATTCGTAGGTAGGCCTTTGTTTCAGTATTCTTTGCTTTTGAAATGTGGTTTTTCCACCAAGAACAATTTTCATATTAAAGATTTGGGGGATTTTGCTTTCCCATTTCCCAATTTATACTCATGTGAAGTTGGAGTTCTTGCATAGTCTACAACAGTTTAACCACGTGCTAACACCATTGGTAGACAAGAATAAATTTGTGATAATTTATGGCTATACCTAGCTTTTGGGCTAGCTTGCCTACGTACCCTGTGAAGGGATTAAGCCGAATGTAGTTCACCCTCTTTGAATTGAGGTGATGAAAGGAGATTTTGGGACTTGTGACTGTATCTAGCTTTTTTAGGGACTAGACTGCCTATATACCCCTTTTGAGGGATCAAGTCAACTGTAGTTCTTTGCTTGGGTTGTCTTTTCGAGTTTTCAGCCCACAAAGTTTTTTTTTTTTAATATTTAATTTTTTTAATATTTTTTTTTTGGCTCTAATTTTTGCTTGACCACCCATTCAGGTTTTCAGCCCAACAAGCATTTTTATTTACCCTAACTTTTGATTGAATTGCCGTTTTGGGTTTTCAGTCCAACGGGTAATTAATTTTTTTTCATATTTTTTCATAGCTCTAATTTTTGCTTGGACCGCCCTTTCAAATTTTCAACTCAACGAACATTTTTTCTAACCATCGGCATAAAACTTCTTGACGAATTTCCCATTCACACAAGGATTTATGCACTTGCCTTTGAAGTTTGACAACTCATAGGCACCCTTGGAGAAAACCTTAGTAATGATGTAGGGCCCTCTCACTTGGGTTCAAATTTACCATGCATTTTCCGGGTAATGACAAAGGGTCTTCGGACAATGAAAACCAAATCTACAATTGAGAAAGATATGAACTTAACTTTTATGTCGAATGCCCTTGCAACTTGAGCTTGATATATTTTGAGCCTTTGTTGAGCTGCCAGTTTTTTCTCATCTACAGCTTCCAGTTCGGCCAGTCTCACATTTGCATTTTCATCAGAGTTTGTTAGTTGTAAAGCTATCCTTAACGATGGCAATTGGACTTTTATCTGTAGAATAGCCTTGGAGCCAAACACCAAATTGTACAGTGTACATCCTGTTGAGTTGCGTATGGTCATCCTATAAGCCCATAATGCTTCAGGGAGGCATTCATGCCCGTCTCTTTTATTTCCTGAGACCATCTCCTTTAGGATATTGCACAATATCTTATTGAGAGCTTTAACTTGACCGTTTGATGACGGATTGTAACTCGCAAAAAACGAGTGTTGAAACCTATACTTCTCGCATAACTTGGTCATGGACTTGCACTTGAAATACAATGCATTGTCGGATATTATTTTTTATGGAACCCCATAACGGTAGATGATGTGGTTCCTTATGAAGTTTGTAACATCGTCTGCTCATACCTCCTTTAAAGGAATTGTTTCAACTCATTTAGAGAAGTAATCGGTTGAGGCCAAGATATATTGATGTTCACATGATGACTTAGGCTTTATGATATCCACAACATCCAATCCCCAAGCTTTAAATGGCCAAGACAAAGTTGTTGGATGCAAATGTTGGGTTGGCTGGGGTATAAAGTCTCCATGCAATTGGCAATCTTTACATATGGTTGCAAATTTCATTGAGTCTCAGACCAATGTTGGCTAGTAATAACCAAGTCTCTTCAATTGGTTTGAGAGTTTTGGACCAACTTGATGGGCACCGCAAGTACCAGCATCAGTATCATGAAGGGCTTTAGTTGTGTCTTATTTCGATAGACACCTAAACATCATACCATCAAATGACCCTTTGTACAAGGTGTCGTTTAAATACAGAAACCGAGTGGCCCTATGTCGGACTTCAACCTTTTTTCTTAAGTCATTTGGCAACTTGCCATGTTGGATATACTCGATTATGGGATGGCTCCAATCAAGATCATCTGGTTCTTCCTCACATTTGGAAGCCGTAATGACGTTTGAATCAACAACTTCTTCAATTCTCTCTATAGTTGAGGGTAACAAATAACGTTCCCCAACAGTGATTTTGATATCCCTTTCGTCAGGTAGTGTTAGCAATGTAGGAAAATTAGCTAGTGCATCAGCTTTATCATTTTCTGACCTTGAGATGCGACTAACATGAATGTTTGAAATGGTGACATGAGATTTTTTTCCCTTTCATGGTATGGGACGAGAGTAGCATTTCTGACTACGTATTGGCCATTCAACTGTCTGACGACTAACTGTGAATCACCGTATGCTTGCAAACAATCAATATGCCTCTCGAGAGCAATTTCAAGGCCAATGACGAGTGCCTTGTATTATGCTGCATTATTTGAGCACAAAGCTAGTAGAGAGAATGAGTATGGGATTAAGCCCCCAGACGGCATGATGAACACTAATTCGGCCTCAGCTGCTTTTCCTCTTACTGCCCCATCAAAATATAATTGCCACGTAAGCGCTTCTGATGTGAATACCTCTTCATCGGGCAAATCAGTAGGTAATTCCATGTTGTTGGAAGTAGGGTGGACAGCCAAGAAATCAGCAAGAGCTTGCCCTTTGATTGCCTTTTGTGGCATAAATTTTATCTCAAACTCAAAGAGGAGGAGCGACCACTTGGCTATTCTCCCAGAGAGCATAAACTTGGACATTAAATATCGGAGCGGATTTGCCTTGGAAATCAAAATGACTCTATGAGAGAGGATGTAGTGCTGTAGTTTCTGGACAGCAAACACCAATGTGAGGCAGACCTTTTTGATAGAGGTGTAATTTTGTTCTGCCCCCACGACTGTTCCACTCAAGTAATAGAGCGCATTTTCTTTTCCATCCTCATTGTGTTGGGCGAGCAATGCCCCCAACGAGCGTTCTAATGCCTGAATATACAAGATTAAAGGCTTCCCTTTAATTGGCGCCACAAGAACTGACGGATTCAACATGTATTGTTTAATGTTTTCCAAAGCATTTTGGCATGCTTGATCCCATACAAACGGAACATCCTTCTTCATGAGCCTTGAGAATGGTTGGTACCTTCCAGATAGATTTGAGATGAACCGTCGTATATAAGTTAATCTCCCTTGCAGCCCTCGTAGCTCCCTTAAATTTCGAGAGGGAGGCACTTCACGGATTGCCTTAATTTTTGAGGGATCAATTTCAATTCCACGATGTCCGATGACAAAGCCAAGGAATTTGCCTGAAGTTACCCCAAATGCACATTTTAAGGGGTTTATTTTCAACTGGTCCTTTCGGAGTCTATCAAAAAACTTGTTTTAAGTCTATTAAATGATGTTCTCTTTTTATGGTTTTGAGAACCAAATCATCAACGTAGTACTCAATGGTATTGTGAAGCATACCATTGAAAATTGCCGTCATGGCTCTTTGGTAAGTCGCCCCTGCATTTTTCAACCCAAAAGGCATCACAGTGTAGCAATATATTCCTTTTGGAGTGTGGAAGACAGTTTTCTCTTGATCCTCTGGAGCCATTTTTATTTGGTTGTAACCTGAGAATGCATCCATAAACGATATAGCACCAAAACTAGTTGTTGCGTCTACCAATAATTATGTAATTGGAAGCGTAAACTCATTTGTTGGGCACCCATCATTGACGTCTCTATAGTCCACACATATACGCAATGCCTCATTTCTTTTGAGGACTGGAACAATATTGGACAACCAAGTGGGATATTGGACCTCTCGGATAAAACTAGCAGCAATAAGCTTGTCAATCTCGATTTCTATTTGGATTGTTAGCTCTAGCCAAAAACGAAGTGGCGCTTGCTTCACCCATCGAGTCTCATCAAGTATCCCAAGTTTGTGAACTGCAACGTTTGGGCCTAAACCTGGCATGTCTTGATAATTCCATACAAATACACCTCAGCACTCTTGCAACAGTTGTGTGTATTCTTGTTTGCCCGTTTTGCGTTTACTCCTGTGATGGAAGGGCAAAGTTCCCCACTGCCTTGAGAACCATAGACTGGTCAACAAGTCAGCTTTCTTTGGTGTGCGAGCGTGCCACTGCTAGTAATAAAAATTCTAGCAGACTTAGTTTGGAATAGATAACTTGCGCCCCAAGTTACTGATTTCTGCAAACAAACGATTGTGAATTTGGGTGAGGAATATCTCCCAAGTAAGTTCTTTTCTTGCCTCAGACTGGTGAGGACTTTAACAATTTATCTCAGTATAAAGAGGTTGTTCTGGCCAGAATGGTTGATGGAATTTAAACTGTTTTTAGGCAGAACTGCCTTTTACAAAACTATAACAGTAAATACTCATGCTAGAGAGATGAAGATACAGTTGGAACTCCGTTTCTGCCTGGATGGGAGGCTCTGTTCTGGGCTGGACTGGAAATGCCCGGGCTGGACTGGAGACGCTCAGGCTGGACTGGAGACGCTCAGGCTGGACTGGAGACGCTTGGGCTGGACTGGAAATGTTCGGGCTGGACTGGAAATGTCCGGGCTGGACTGGAGATGCTTGGGCTGGACTGGAACTGTCCGGGCTGGACTGGAACTGTCCGGGCTGGACTGGAACTGTCCGGGCTGGATTGGAACTGTCCGGGCTGGACTGGAAACTTCAGTGGGCTAGAGACTGCACTGTAAAATTTGTTGAGGTTTTCATGTTTGGGAAAAGCTCAAGCTCTACCTGTCTTGGTTTTTTGCTAAACCAAATTTGTAACGAGAGAAATCTCGTTTTGAATGACTTATTTTCTAAGTCTGAACCTTGGGAATTCTAATCTAAAGCTGGTTTTCACTTGGAATTCAAGTGAGCTTCTGGTTGATTTTGAGTTGTTGTGTTTGTGCTTTGGCTCAATGAGCTTTGGTTGCTTCAGTGTTTTGAAGGTTTTTTGAGATCAAGTGATCATTTTGAGTTTTTGTTTTTGATTGATTTTTTGGTTGTTTGCGTGTGTCGTTTACCCTGTTCACTCCTTCTTGTATTTATAGTAAACTGTTTCTTCTCTGGAGTAGGGTGATTGTGTTTATTTATTGGGCGGCAAAGATATTTCCCCCCTTTTCCTCTTCTTCTTCAGTTTTGGCAGATAGGCTCTCAGATAGGCAATCACTTCCCTGATTTTCTTGAAAAGGAACCTAATCTCTTTCCCAATTTCTACTGCCCCTTGTGATATTTTACCCGTGATGGTTAGTTTGATTCCTTTTCTGGACAGCTCCCTGCTTTCCTGCTTATCCCTCTCTGAGATTGTAACTTGCTTATCTCCTTGGGAGAATTACCTTCTCTGAAAGGACAGAAGAAAAAATCCCAGTTCTTCAGAATCAACTTGATGTCACGAACCCTTCAATCACTTCTTCTATGACAGTTGCCATTGCTGACTTCCGCCATTGCTGACTTTCTTTATCCCAGAGATGTCACGTGGGATTGTTCCTATTCCTGGGCTCCCTCTTGGGATTGTTCCTACTTCTGGGCTCTCTCTTCCTATTTTGGGCCTCCATCTTTTTTGCTGGGCTGGGTGTGTCAATTTTTGGCCCAAACAATTCTTCTAACTCTTAAGAAGTTAACGAAGCACTAACAAAGATAGGTTTTGGGCTGTCAATTGTACCAAGATTAATTTCTTGGAGATCATCAATCGTGGCTTGACCTCCCTCCTTCATTTGTGGTGGAGCTGGTTGACTATGTCAATGAATTCCTCAATATCTTGAGGATTATCGTCATGGTCCACTATTTCTTAAAAAGAGGTGTAATTGACTTGGACAAGGTCATCCTTTCTTCTCACCCTTTTGACTGTTTTGATCACAGATTTCTCTTGACTCTTAACCTTCCATTTCCTTTTATTATGGACTTTTCCTTGTTGAGAATTGTTAGGGTTCTCCAAGCGTTGAAAGATTGAGATGCGAGGTGGATGTCTGCTCTCTAGGCATTTGAACACAAAGATGCGAAGTAGTCGAAATGACCAAACTCGAGCCATCGTTTTTGCTAAAAGTAGTCGAAATGACCAAACTTCCCATTAGGATGGACTGATTGATCTTTCTAAGAGGACGAATGTAGTTGGCGGTCATTAGTGACTCCATTTTTTGTTTCAACGAGCTTATTTCCTTCTCACTAGGCTCCTTTTTTGAAGTCTTGAAATTATCTTTGGCTTGTGAGCCTTTGAAGTCGAGACTTCTTCAACTTTTGAGGATGACACACCATGAGGTGTTAGCTTCACTCAAATTACTCTTGAAGGTTTGGGTGCTCCTACCTTTTGTGATTTTCCTACTTCGACGGTCGCTCCTTTCTCCTTATCAACCTTTCATGGCTATGTAAATGAGAGACCAGGTGGACCGTAAAACTTCGCATCATAGTAATTTACCTCTTCGCCCTTGAACAAGTCCATG